AGGAAGGGCAAAATTCATTGAATCTTACAAGAATGCTGGGTAAGCTTGTTCTTTCAACATGCATAGCAACAAACTGATAAGGTGGTATGTAAATACAGATAGTGATTGTTGTTATTTCTTTCCATCACCGAAATTTTATTGCATTTCCCTAATTTCACGCGTATAAGGCGGGGGGATTTTTTCCAAAATCGACCAGCTCAGACAAGCCAAAGGACTTCACAACCAAAGAACTCTATAACGTGCTGTATATTGCTTGAGGAAATCGCGCGATGTAAGGATTTCTTTCCGGAACGCAGTGAAGTGGCTGAGCGGCTCGCTTGAAAATTCGAAAAAGCGCCTTATACGCCTGAAATTAGGGTACTTATTATTTATCCCTTGGTATTATTGTTATTATTATTATTATTATTATTATTATTATTATTATTACTATTATTATTATTATTATTATTTATTACATTGGTTATTACTTCAATATTTTTCGAACTTTCGGTAATGCTAGCGTTGTCAGTTCGCAATCGTCGAACAAATTGATTTGTCACGATAGAGCTTTTGAAAGCATTAATTTTTAAAATATTTCGCGCTAAATTCAACAAAGTGTATTGAACCATTTCAATCTTATCTCGGAGCTTCATTGGATTGTTTCAAAAGGTGGTCCTTTCTCCAAAACTAGGAATCCAAGAAACAAAAAAGGGCAGAGTTTTTGCAGTACTTGAGAGTATCTATGTTCAAGTTCAAACATAAGTATAGCAAGCTCATTCTTGAGTTAACGCAGTAGTAATGTTCTCTATTTATTCTCAAAATAGAATATGTATTGTGCAGGAATAAACGCTTTTACTAAGGAATGAAACTTATATAATTAGATAAGTAATTGAAAACAAGAAGAGTGAGTGCTTGCGTAATTCTCAGCTCCATATATTTATATGCATCCCAAGTATGCACTCTGCCACCCGCATACTTCAAATGTGATGGGTATAGTCATCATAAATACTGGATAAATAAGAATGATTTGCCTGTTTGATTGCACTGTCAATCAAGAATGTTATTAGATTATGTTAACCTTTATTCGCGTAATGTCAGATATCATTCCAAAAAGGTCATCCCGTATATTTATCCAGCTAGCTGAGGTATTGGGTCGGTTTTGTCCCTGTCAATATAACATGATATTTTCTGTCCTACTTCTACAGGGTGTCCCAAAAAGATGTGCACACTGTTTGATTGTTAATAACTCTCTTGCTTTCATGTCTTTTGCCGGGATTGAGGTACCATTCTTTAGAGCGAGGTTTAAGATTTACTGTATGGAGCGGTTCGTCGATCGCTCTTTATTACTGTAGGATTACGGTAGAAATTTCGAGGAGGATTTTGAGCCATTGAAAGCGGTGTTTTGCTTCAAGAAGAAAGCCAAACAAGCCAGAAACTCCTAAACTGGGTTAATCGAAGTTGCTGATTCTAAAGATGAAAAGTTCACATTAGTACATTGCTTCTTTCGTGACTTATTTCAGATTTAGGGTAATAACTGATTTTCCAGTGTTGGTCAGAAATGTGAATACGCCAACAAGAAAGCTCGAAAAACTGGTGGAAAGTTATGTAGTGAAATCAGCACACCTGAAAACCTTGCTACTGAAATTCTCAGATTTTTTCGAAATTATTTCGTCAAAAGGCTTATTCCGCAGTGACCTTGTATGCTGAAAGTTCCTACAGTGATCCTACAGTAACGGTGAGTGAATGGTAATTCGCTCCATACTGTAAATCTAAGTTTATCCTCGCTCTACAGAAAGGTACCTCAAGCTCGGCAAAAGACATGAAAGCAAGAGAGTTATTAACGATCAAACAGTGTGCACATCTTTTTGGGACACTCTGTATATGCCACTTCTATTCTCGGCATGCGGTAAATGTTTGTTGTGGCTTGTTCAGCTGCACCAGGACTTGATATATCCTTTCGCTTGGCGGTATCGCCTTCAGCGTCTGAAATAATGCACAAATAAAGTACCCTATCAAACGCCTTTAGATAGACGTCAGTGAACCAAGAATTCGAAAGTGAATGCAGGAGTAAAAACATTAAGCCCGGAGGATTTGAATAGGATAGTTTATTTATGCATTCGATTTCAGACTCCGAAAAGGCGATATCGCCGAAACGTTAGCCAAATAAAGCATATACCAATTAAGATTGTCATACTGGTTATGAACATGCTCACTTAGCTTCCTGCTTCAACTCCCAGCCGCGAATGGATAATTTTACAACCAATTACTAGCTTCAACGTGCTCAACTTTCCCTGTGCTAGCTCCAGACCCGTAGCTACACTTTGTATAAAATCGCTTAAAATCGGCTAGTCTACACGCTGCGTAATCAGTTGACCTCCCCCTTCCTTCCTTGTATCCAATTACAAACGGTTTAATTAGTGAAGTGAGATGCGTGAGCAAGTCAATGGCGGGTATATTTACGATTTCGTAGCCGGCTTTTATCACCATTAAAGACTTGCAAAGTTTAACAAATTCTTTTCCCGTGAAGACCCTATCGTAGTGCTATTGCCGTCACCATAACACCGTCTCTCATCGCAAAAATGCTGCACAATTTTCTGACTTCTCTTCAAAAAAACGTTATAGCTATACATGAGGCGGATCAACCTAGCCATCGCATTTTTGATCTCAACTTTATAATATAGCGGAGGATAAGCATGCTCACTTGCCTTGGATAGGTTCAAGAAGGCATTTCGAATTTTTTGGAACATAAGTACAGGCAAAATACAGACATACAGACAATTCTCTCTCGCATGGAGTAAGCGCGACTCGAGCGGCTTGTGCCTCGTTGCTTCGCTTTGGGTTGCAGCGCGTTCTCGAACGTGGTCTCTGACCATTTTCCAAGCTTAGTTAACGGTTAGAGCTTTACTCTGAGCTTTTTGTCACGCTTTCGTGTGAAAATGAACAAACGACACGTTTGCGAGCGCGGTCCAGTGGCCCTATTCATCAACGAGCCCAGTGGTTTCCGCATCCCAGTGGGTAAGCAAAAACAGTGCCCTGGGTTGGATCGATATTCACAAAAAGCACTGGTGGGTTCGCGAACCCACTAGCTTCGTGAAGACCGATGTCGTGGTTTGAACCTACCCAGTGGGTTCCGGAACCTACTGGGTTCGTTGATGAATACGGCCGCAGGTTCAAACGAGATAAGCGGCCGCGCGTTTTTCGATAAGCCTAAATTGGGCGAACTCCTGACATGACCAAGGATACAGACAAACAGACATTTTAGTTGGCTTACCCGGCTCCGCCCGGCCTTTAAAACCCTATAACAAAGGTTCAGTTCCTATCCCTGTACAAACTCTCCCTGTGCCCACTTCTACATGCCAAATTCCTATTCCCGCTGTGTTAGTAATCAGCATGCTCACTTATCCGCCTATGCCAACTCCCAGCTCTGTAGCCTAAACTTTGCAAAAAGTCAATAAAATTGATTAAAGTAGTGGACGATTTCAAAAACTAATGTTGTATTCGTAATCAGCATGCTCGAATTACTCCCTGTGCCAACTCCCAGCCCGCAGGTCAAAGTCTACAAAAAATCGACAAAATCGATGTCGATCGATAAGGAAAAGTAGCCTGTGACACCCGCTCCGCCCCGAAATGTTATGTGTGCCAAATAGATCCGGATTGGTTCATTAATGGAATTTTTCTATTCGGAACACACGTACAGACAGACATTCAGACAGACAAACATACATGTTGTCGTTTGACGGCTTGTAGAAATGTTACAAACAAAGTTCCATACCAATTTTAATCACTGGATAGAAGTACAATGAGTCTCATGCTCAGCTTGAACCTTTTTTACGCTATCTGTACTACAGAAGACCTCAGCTAAAGGACAGCTATTGCGCTAATATAGAGTTCGTAGTTGCACGTCAAAACAAGTCATTGAATAATCCAGATTTAATGGGACACCTAGAGAATAATACTCACTTTTACGCAGACGTTAGTAAATTCAAAAAGGTTTGAGAGGTCTATAGATGAGCATTGTCACACGGCATTATTGCTAATGCACTAAGTCAAACTCAGACAGTCGACGGCATACCTCCGGAGCAAAAATGGCAGGATCGCGGGCTCTGCCCAGCGGAGGTTGCTACTCGTGCTTTGGAGCCCTCCCATTTTGTGCTCCGGAGACCTCCCATTCTGTGCTCCGGAAGTCTGCCGCTGCATACTGTAACTAGCCCTAATTAAGCTCCAAACACCAAATATGTCTCTAAACCCCGTCCAAACTAGCTCTAGACCAAGGTCGAGCAAACGGTGTAGAATACGATCGCCGAATATGACCCCCCCCCCCGGGTAGGACTTTAGCGCGACCCTCAATCACGTTCTCTACCCTTTTCTCTCATCCCTAGCGTCGTTTGTAGATAGCAAGATAGAAGATTGAAGACAAGACGAGACATTTATTTCAAATTAACTGCAAAACAATTTACTACATTTTGCAAATGCCCTTCGCTTCGATGTCCAAAATGCTCATCTTTGGACTCCTCATCGCTCCTCACGTTCTGCGAGTACTCTTCTGCACTCCTCTTTTTGAATCTACCCCTTCTTGCATTCGAGCACCGCCGGAGTCATTCAGACCGACGGATGAGTGGCGCTCCCACTATCATAGCCTTCTAGAAACTTTCTTTCAGATGTGTGTAACCACAAAATCTTAGCCTACCCTTATGCTTGCAAATCTTTTAGCATGGATCATTGACCGGGAACCATCGGAAACTGTGAAATCCTGAGAGAATACGTACACGTTACGCAAGAAAACTGGTTAACAATAACGAAATTGGCGTGTCGAAAATTAAGTGCGAAACATTCTAATCTACGGCAGCAGTTTCAGATTTGTTGGAAAGCAGAAAAATTCCAGAAGAGTCTCGCGAGAATTTCACCCAAATGATGTAAATGAAATTTTACTGCAAGACCCATTGCGATATTTTTTTAGAACACCTAAAATCGACAGATTCATGTACGAGAACTTATTTATTGATGAAGATGATTGATGAGCACTAATCATGCATCGTCCAACTCGAATTACTTTCTCCAGGATGAACCGGAGAGCTCAGAAATACTATATCCCTGCTGTTAATCTGCTCTCGTGTACCTTCCGCGGTTACAGTAAGTAAATTTAACGAGTTTCCTCTAAGAGATTCTCCTATGACATCATTTGAGTAGCATACATTAAACGGTAATTGATAAAGACGTCTGGAGATGGTCGTCAGTAAAAAAATGCATATTGGAGTTGAAATTACGCATAGCTGCGAGACTTACCTTAAGAAAGGAGTAAGTATAGGGAGAATGGGAAGCAAAATAACATATATCACCCTTATTCCAGAAGGTTATTTTACAACGAATCGAATAAAAATCACTAGAAAAATCAAGGAAAATTTATACGCGAAAAGATAGCAAAACGCATGACCTACCGTTTCTTGGACTTGCTCTCATAGGCGTCACTGTCTTCACCCGAGCTGTACAGATTACGATAATAGCATACTGTCTCACCAGCGCGAACCCATCCGCAATGTCCAGCTAGCGCATCACAAACAGAGTACATAACAGGTTGCATTCCTTGAAAAAAAAAACAATTGATAATTTCAAAAGTGTACGGAAGATTATTTACAATATTTGAAATCTTAAAAAACTTCATTGATGTCAAACTTTAAGAAACGGAATTTTCACCTCAAAATAAAACCACTGATAGTGCTCCTTTTTTGATTAATCTCTGGTGCTAAAATTAGTTCGTAGCGTCTTCGGCTACGGCAGGGGCCAGACATTCGACTTGAAAGCCAGGAATGATTTTCCTATGCTGCCCCTTGAAAAATCACTAATTCCCCCCCCGACAAGTATAGACAGAGTTTAACTTTCGGATTCGCCCGGATGCTGTCTTTGAGCTGAAGACAATTTAACGAACTTTTCCTAAGCCTTACCTCATGCTGGTCCCATTATCACAAAGCCGTTGCAGTGATGTCGACATCAGGATCACACATCTCAGGAAAAGCAATCTTTGTAAAGGGGATCACTGAGCGTGTGGCCTGAAATACCCACTGAAAGCACTCCAACAGAAATTCACACTTGCCCTACCTTCGCATACATACTTAGGAAAAGCTCAGGATATGGAATTGAAGAAGTTGGACGTTTTGCGTCGGCACCATTTTTATATTCGGCAAAGCAGGCAGAGTACCATTCGAGTTCAGATTGTTTCAGCCGACTATGGGTGGCTTCCTAAAAAGACTATCAATCACTATTTACTGAAAATTGAGAGGGACAAAAAGCGCTACACCTTCCCCATCTAACAGCTTCTAATCCATCCTCATCCACTTCACAAGTGAAAACAGCGTTATTTTAACCAAACTGTGCAAAACTTCATAAAACAACGAGATAACAAGATATAATACGATAAGATATACAATATAACCATATTTCTAACAAAAAAAAATCAAAACGAATAATCACAACCTATCTGGATTACCGTGAGAATGTCTTGCAAAGAATACCAAGTGAATTGAAAATCTATCTACAATCTACAGCCAATAGACATGCACACGAAGGTGTCCCTACAACAGATAACCACCCAGACACCAAAAGTGATGGTTTAAAAGTGCATCCGCACGAAAACCTAAAACCTGAAACCTGAAAAGAAAGAACTGAACAAATAAACGTCAACGCGCCGACGAGCAATACGAAACTCCAAAAAAAGAAAAATGAGTGCGAAAGAACGTAAAAAGAGTATGTCGAAAGCGGCGGCACATTTTCGAAAATGCAGCTGCGTATCGCAGCATTGGCTGCGTACAGTCTGCCCCAATCGGGATCAGGCCGAACCGTCGGCTGAATTTGCGCGCTCGCAGTGCTAGGGTATTGCGCTGCATACGCGCGCTGTCGCAGAGAGTGAAGAGATCGAGGAGAGAGCAGACTAGCTAGCCGCAGATGTGGCGCGAAACCCTCACGGCGCGGACTCCCGCCATGCCGATTTTGGCCTAGTTAGGATTGGGGCAGACTGTACCTATTGTGCTCCGGAGATGTCCCAAATCTAGCGTACCTCCGGAGCAGAGATTTGCAAGCCCGCGGGAGGGGTCCTATCCGCTTCTTGTGACGTCACCGTGACTTCACAAGAAGGGACCGTCCTCTCGCCCCGCCTCCTCAATGGTTAAGAAGGCCCTCCGCAGCTCTGCCAGATTTCGATTGTCCTCCGGAGCTACGGCACCGATTGTCCGAGAAGCTGTCACTTTGATGTAATTTCAAACTTAGAGCAGTACTGCCACAGTAAAACAAGTGAATTTACTAAAAATGTGCCGCAATCGGTGAGAGGATCATCACCTTATCCACGATATCCTGGTGGTCGCAACGCTTTGCAACTGAAGATATGGTATTGAGTAGTAGAAGACATATCATTTATCCTCTCATCGAGGTAACTGATTGAGATCGTCTTCAATCGTAAGCTTCTGATGAAGTTTCTTACGCTGTATCCGTGCATATGCAACTTACCTCAACTTCTTCTCAAAATTGTGGATCAAAACATGTTTTCTAGCGTAAAAATCATCGCCGCATTTGCACTTTCTCAAAAAATCTACCCTTTTATACGAAATAACATAAAACTTCTGCGCATTAAAGTTGTCATTAATGAAGACTATGCAAAGTTCTTTCGAACATTATGTCATGTGTTTAGTGATTTTGGGGTACAGCAGCGTTTTAAATGCGGAGGGTTTCAAAACAGTCTGTCTGATTTCTTCGAAACGCCGCTCGAATGACTGTGGGAGTGGAGCCCAAAGACGCTGTAGGGAACAGGGGGGCAGTTCCAATAGAAGCGCTTACATTGCTGGTTGTCTATCGTTAATCAGAAAGAAAACTTTCTCAACTGTAAAGAAAAAATTCAAGGGGTCCCATTTTCTTAATCATCCTATTACTTGAAGGCAGTGGGTCGGCAAAACTTGACAACCCAGGATATTAACGCAGAAGGCTCCTTATCGTCCAAGTAGCAGTGCAATCCCGGTTGCACAGCAAGGCTTCCCTGTCGAGAAAATCGCTCTCAAATTTACAGCGCAAGCCAATCTTACACGCATCCGGACGAGTTTGCAACTTCCTTCTCACCATTGGAGGTTGCCCGCCGCAATGCTATAATCATTGGGTCCCGCAACGATTCAGCGTCATCAGGCCTGCTCCACTCGTCCAGTTGTGAAGGGAAGGGGTTGAAAACGCTCGTTTTCGCCGTTTTCGAGCTCTCTAAAGTGGTTTTTCGTGATCAGCGTATTGAATAACCCCAGGTAAGTGAAAATTTGACTAGGTTGAAATTTGCCGAGCCACTGCCTTCAAAGGAAGTGTCCAAGCAAACCTGAGCATATGGGTTTTTCCCTTGGAAATTGATGAGGTGTTCTAACTAACAAGGGAAGGATAGTTGGATGCCGCGGCCTTTCCTAATGATTTGTATACCAAAAAATGCGCCTTCGAATGCAGATTCTGAATCTGTGCTCGAAATCTGCAAAACGATCTTTTGAAGAAAGTTATGAACTTTTTTCCTTGAGAATTTAGCATACTTTTGGATAGTAAAAATCACCAGATTTGATCTAGCCTACCGTTTGATGCTACTGAAGAAAATTTTAGACGTAGTAATATTTATTTAGACTATCTGGATCATACTCAGCATTTAGAAAGGAGAGGAAATATTTTTATTGATGATATTGACCCTCCGCAGGAACGCAATTTTTTTAATGAAAAAAAAAATCATAACTCCATTCAGATTATCGTTTCGCAGATATGAAAGACAGTCTACGAACCAGCATTCAAAAGCGCATTTTTTGGTATACAAATCATTATGAATGGCTACGGCATCCAAGTATCCTTCCCCTGTAAGGCACTGTCGAAGGGGCAGCGCAAAGTGTTCATTCACGGCTGAGAAACCCGTCTCCGAAAACCCCGCGCCTGCGCCGTGACCGTAACCCGAAAACGACTTCTCTCACTTTAACATTACGTTCGCGCTGGGACCCAACCTAAGTTTTACGGTCATGTCGCAGCCGCGGAGTGTTTGGGGATGGATTTCTCGGCCGTGAATGAGTTATTTGCGCTGCGTTTGGGCAGTGCTTTAGCTAAAACCTCCTGATTTGCGCGCACACTGCCTTTAACCAATTCCGTAAGCAAAACGCACTCCCAATCAGCAAACCATTGGGAAATATGAGGAGCTAAAAATACAGAGTTTTTCTTGGAAGTAAGACAATCTGTAAAGATTGATTGACCACATTTGGCTTTGATAGTATAGCCACTGAATGCTCCTGAGCAAGAATTGTGTCCCAAGCACAAGGTCCGATCCAAAACCTGTCTTCGGCTGTAGCAAGGGTTTATGTCTTAGACCTGTAAATGAATTTCAGGAATAAGCAGTATGAGAGAAATTCGGCCAGAAAAAAAGATTGAACAGTGCAAAATACTCTCCTTTTATCATTTCCAACATTGAGTCGGAATTTCGGCACATTCTTGTTTTGCTTTCCACGGTGTGATTTCTCTACTCTTTGTAGCAAATGAACTGCTCCATGCCGTCCAATTGCAAGACTCATCCTATTATTTTTTTCCTCCTCCTTTCGAGTCAATTTCATTCTGGACTATTGAAATGCACTATCTCTTCCGGTTGTCCTGTAAATGTGCTTTGTTCAGAGAATATACGCGCTGATGGCAGTTGCAAGCTGAACTTGTTTACAAGACTTCGAGAAGCTGATGATGAGCTCTATCACTCAAGCTCTGTCACTAATCAATCATGGAGTACTTTCATGGAACAAAGGGAGCGAAGGAATTAGTCGAAGGGCAGGGGAATCTTATAATTTACCTTTGCCATCGATGCCAAACGTGCCAAAGTCAGAGAAAATAGGACCTAATCTTGTTTTTGCTAAAGAGCATTTTCACGCAAATGCTATTTCGTAATTTCAATCTCATAAATCATTGCTTGCAGTGGAATGGTGTTTTCTTTTCTTGAACCCTATAGCTCCATTTTATCTTTTTCCATTGCGTGAATAAGTGCTTGTGCTCGGTCTTTTGCCCCATTTTGTCGGGAATGAAATTATAGAGGTATATACATATTTGCGGATCATTACTGAAGGCGGATTTTTAGGGCTCGGCAGGAACATTCTTGGAGCCAGAATTTTTTTCGATTGCCATAGTGTGGCAACCCGATTTCAAAAGCTGACGAGCTTCAATACTTATAAAGGGTGTCTCAAAGAAATATGATTACTGTTTGTTAGTCAATAACTCTCTTGTCATGAAGTCATTCGAGAAGCTTTAGGTACCATCTTGTAGAGCTGGTGGCTCCAGCTTGGATCTACAGCTCTTCATTACCGTATGAGTACGGTAGGAATTTTGGGGAGGGTTTCGCATCACTGCCATATTTTACCCCTAAAGAGGCCAAAGGAGCTAAAAACTTTCACACTGGGTTAGTCAGAGTTGTTGATTAAATATGAAACTCGTACTCGTAGTTTCTTATTGATCGAAAATTTCGACAGACCCCAACTCTCGACTTGTGGCTCATCGTAATTTTAAAAATTTCGTTACATAATTTTTCTATCAGCAACATGCTCAGAATTGTTGGGATAGATAATAGGCACAACAGTGGAATGTTTTCGTCAATTTGAAGAAAGAAAATTGACTTTGAAAAAGAGGCTTGCAGTCGCCGGGGATCGTCATGGGACCATACAAAAAGCTGCAAAAAGCGGCTTGTACAACTTTTCGCTCGTGCTCAATGTGCTTATAGTGAAGGGTAGTAGGAACACTTACGGATAGGTAGATAGCGCGATTTTCAGACATCTGGAGGTTTAGAATATGAACTCCAAAATAATCTCGAGTGTCGCTGATTTTCGAAATATTCTCGTATTTTTCTATTAGTCATAGAATAAGAGCGGTTTATGTCAGTTTGTAGCTTACACGGCAATCTATACAATATCAAAAACTGAGCGCGCCAGTATCAAAATCGAAAAGTTACGGATTCAGTTAAAAGACCCTTATTGACAGCCCAATAGAATTATCTTTAAGGGCCGGGCATACTTCACGCGATTTCAGTCGCGACGCGATTTGGCAATGTTCCAACTGTCCATGTAAGCTATACACACTGCGCATGTGCAGTTCGCTAGTGTTGTATCTGAAGACTTCTGGCGAATTGCCAAATCGCGTCGCGACTGAAATCGCTTGAAGTATGCCCGGCCCTTTACTTATTTGGCTCAAAGTTTGGGGTGTTGTTCAAAATGGCAGAGCACGTGGTACATGCATGACATTATAATAACTTTATTGAAATTGGCATCACTACTAGTTTATAACATTTGA